ATATGTGATAGGTAAGGTTTTAGTTGGGGGCGGGGTGGTAGAGGAGGACAGGAGGGAGAAGGGAACTGGGATTGTCATGTAAAACAATCTTGTTTCTAATTTAAATAAAAAAAATCTGAAAGAAAAAAACAATGATAATACACTGTTTTCTTGAAAGCACAGAAAATTTAAGTCATAAATTTAAAATATTGAATATTAAATAATACTAATAACCAATAAGAGTGTTACACTTGGCCTAAATGAATGAAGTATTATACTTCATTGGTCTTTAAATACTCTGGGAAAAGACAATGATCGAGACTTCAAGAAAATTACTGAAACATCATGGCAACAGTTTATGAGAGTATAATCTACAAGTGAACAGGGCCAGGTGGACTTTAACATTTGCAGTTGAGTACAATGAAATGTTCACCATGTTGTCTTCACGTACAGTTCTTGGACTTTCTAAACCTTCTGATAAACAACACCTGTATCCTCATGTGCCCATGGTCCACAGAGGCACAGCTCTAAATTATGGTAGTGTAATTTTCACTTTCTGTACTGGCTAAAATAAAAATAAATGTTAATGGGATATAATAACAAGAGGATAAGAAACACACATTAGAAGTTCAAAATGCAAACTAATTCATTTCATGTTAATTTATGAATTGTATCTTAAAATAAAACTATTAATACATGAGTTATCTATATTGAGTATCAGGCTTTTTTAAAAAATTAAAAATATTTACTATCCCAATAGAAACTTCTTTTTAATTTGGAATGGCTTTGAAATATTTTTGTTTTGCTTTATTAACATAATGTCTTCCACCGGGCAGTGGTGGAGCATGCCTTTAATCCCAGCACTAGGGAGGCAGAAGCAGGTAGATTTCTGTGAATTCGAAGCCAGCCTGGTCTAGAGTAAGTTCCAGAGAAACCCTGTCATGAAAAAGAAAAAAAAAAAAAAAAAAAAAAAAGGTCTTTCTCTGTAGCCCAGTCTGACTGTCCTCAAACTTGTGGTAGTAATTCTGCCTCAGTCTCCACTTAACTCTCATCTCAGTATTGAATTTTTTCTTTTTTTTATATAATTAGTTCTGCAGTTAAAATCAGTTGAAAGAAATAGGGAAGTCTATTAGCAAATGATTGAGTCTTTAAGTTAACTATATAAGAAAAAATAAATACAGATTTCTTCAAACAACAGTGTGTACATACTCATGATGATGCAGGCCAGACAATTTCAAACATCATTTCTTAGGAGCTGTCCATCTTATTCTTTTTGAAACAGGGTCTCTTTCTTACTGGCCTGGGAGCTCACCTGGTAGGCTAGGATGACTGGCCAGCAAGCCCCAGAGATTCACCGGACTCTACCTCTCCAGTGCTAGGACTATAAGCATGTGCCACATATCCACCTTTTAATATGGGTTCTGGGAGTCAAACCTGGTCATGCTGGCTAAGGAAGCACTTCACCAACACAGCCATCTCTTTGGTCTTTCTCTCCCACCCAACTCCCAAAATTTAAGGATGATTGTCAGGGAGTTTATTTGAGCTTACAGTTCCAGAAGGGTAAATGTCCAGCACCATCACAGCAGGTAAGCGGGGCAGCAAGCAAGCAAACATGGTGGTTGGAGCCTCAAGCTACAGCAAGCAGGAAGCAGAGAGCAAATTGGGAATTGCTCATTGAAACCTACGAGCCCACCCCCCAATGACAACCTTTCTCTAGCAAGGCCATGTCTCCTAGATCTCCCCAAACAGCACCACTCTCTAGGAATGAAGTATTGCCAGAGCCTATGGGAGACATTCTCCTTCAACACGCCCCCCCCCCAACACACACATCATGCTAAAAATTATAAGAGACTATTTCAATATATTCAAATGTTCTGTATTCTAATACAGATTATTATTTTTAAATATTCAATCTTTGAAGGTCTTAAGAGTTTTAGGGACTAACACACAAACACACTTAAAATAATAAAAAAGCAAAGCAAGTTTTACTATTACTACCTAAACTCAAACATCCAACTATATCCTAATTAAGTGGTTTAAATAAGTAAAAGTAAACCCCAATATTACTAACGAGGCAGCAAAACAGTTCCCAAGAGCAGTTTCTCTCCTGGTAACCAATTTGCTATTAGACTGTGACTAACCAAATCACTTTCATCAAGTCACTAGTAGGAATTGAGGTTCCTTCAGAAAGAAACAATCTTAGACTTTCACTGCCAGGCCATGCTCCTCTCTACCCCAACCCCTAAAGTGAACAAATTCTCTCCTAAAGATTTCCCATAAATATAATATTGAGGGAATAAATTTTCATGAATACAAATAAAAGGAAATGGAACATTAACTCCCAGTCAAACCTTCCTTAGAAGTTTCCCACTTTCGGCCAGGCATTGGTGGCACACGCCTTTAATCCCAGCACTTGGGAGGCAGAGGCAGGCAGATCTCTGTGAGTTCGAGGCCAGCCTGGTCTCCAGAGCGAGTGCCAGGATAGGCTCCAAGAAGTTTCCAACTTTCATTTTTAACTTCCCTTATTTTTTAATGAAATGAACACAAAATTTGTCTGCTTAAGACTTTATTTGTGAATTATAATAGAACTCAAAAATAGCAAAGAATATGAAAAATGTATTAACCAAATATATCACAGAGTATTTCCATTTTTAAGTAATAAAAAATAACTAAAAATTCATGCAAGATGTAATTATCTACTTCATAGAACTTCAAAGTAACAAAGAATTAATTAACAGGTTGCCAGATAAGTTCATTATATTATTAAATATATATAACTCGAAATCAAATGTAATTGATAAAATAACCATTTCATGGATAATCTCAGTAAAGTGCCTGCCATTTTCAAACTAAAAATTAGCAAAGATTAAAAATTTGTTAACCTGTCATTCTGAAAGTGTTACTTTTCCTCAGTATTCACTATGATCACCACACTCCTACATAACCCACAAGACATAACTATACACAAAGCCTTAAAACTCAATCATCTTTCCATTCATTGCTTACTGGACATTAAAAACGCCAAGATTGGCTGGGTGATGGTGACTCACACCTTTAATCCCAGCACTCAGGAGGCAGAGGCAGGCAGATCTCTGTGAGTTTCAGGCCAGCCTGATGTACAAAGCTACACAGAGATGCCCTGTCTCAACAAACAAAAACAAATAAACAATGCCAAGATTGCTGAAAGAAGCTTTTCATGATAAAATATCAGACATAATTTCCCACTGTACAATGACCTGTGGCTTTGGCTTAAAGCTGTCTTATTAGTTGGATATTACAGCTAGTGAAATAGTCACTCAAGAGCACACTAGTTTCACTCCAATCAAAAGAAAATCAAGCCACTGATCTAAAGGCAATGAATGGCACATACCAAGAAATCTGTTAGAAAGATCCCTGAAATCCATCATGACATGTGAGTCAACTGCTCCCAAGTAAATAGTGATGCCCAGGAGGTGATGCCACTCACTTCTTTTATGAATGACTTCTAACAATCATTAACAGCGTTAGCCTATGAGAGAAACTGGTTGGGGGAAAAGTCTGAATAAAGAAAAACAAGTGCAAATCTTCAACAGATAAATGAGACCAACTCCACTGCGCAGGAGGTGTGTTGACACCCCAAGCACATACTGATGTCACAAGATTACAGGCTGAATACCACCCGTGCACGGTTCCTACCATAAGAACTCTGTGCCTATTAGTACATATATCCTTCAGATGAGAACAAGCTATGACTTTCCATAATTAATGTCCTTTGATACAAAAAACTGGCATTTCTCCAAAATGAAAGGTATTAAATAGAGAGGGCAGGTGAAATGAAGGCAGAAACTAAGTCACAAAAATAAATCTCAACAGGGACATGCTCAATTTTATAACTCAAGGCTGCTGATGACTTTGTCTCTCTCTCCTTGAATAATCAAATGCAAATGCCTTTTAGCAATGGCAGCATTCAAATCCCACAAAAAGTCAAGCAGTGTCCCCTGAAGGAGCACCTCCATTGGCACAAACTGCAAAACCTGCTGGGGTGCCTGAGAATGGAGCAAAGTGCTCACCAACTCATTAACACTCTGCAGATACTGGAAAACTGGATTTGGCAGGTTCTGATAACCAATGCACAGAAGGACTGCACAGGTCCTGAGGGGCTCAGAGGACGTGGGACAAGAAAATGTGACAAATCTAAAACAGCTGTGGAGAACAAAGATCAAGCCAGCCATAAATCTTGTTAAGCAAGAAAGTACAGGCAAAATCATTACATCTCCTGTTTGAAGTTGCTTCAGCGAGTGTAGAAGGCAATCCAAAAACAAATGCTGGTATGTTGGGTCACCATCATGAAGCAGTGAACAGCTGAAGGTTATGAGTTCAATGGATTCCAGCAGCTGGACTTCCATCCGTGTGTGCACTTTGAAATCACAGACAATCGATGAACCCACAAGCAGGCACTTTATTGGGTTGCTGGGTTCTACAAATTGCTCACCCTGTAGGCACTTGGTAAGACTAAACAACTCGGATAATATCAATTCTTCTGAAAAAATGTGACAACAGTAGTATTGCTGCTTGGGCCTGAACTTGGAATCCAAACTCAAAGCTTCCCCCAAGGACTTTTCAACGGCTTCATTAAGAGTCTTTAAAATTTCACCATCACAGAAAGGAGAACACTTGACCTTCGGCAGTTTCTTTCCTTCTAAAATATGCCATAAGTGACACTCAAGATCGGAAGTTGTCCCCTCTAAGAGGGAATTTTGCCCAGGATGATACACAGCATGTTCCTCTGCCCAACTATTGAAGTATCCTTTGGCTACTTTATCTTTCCACGAAAGGTTTTCTAGAATCTTGCGTTCATTATAGGTTTTAAAATACTTGTTCCTCTGTCCAAACCATTTTGTGTTTGTACTACAACCAATATTGGATTTTTTAACAAGCCAGTGATTTCTAGAAAGAGGCTTCAGTTGAAATTTTTGCATAAAATATTGTGCAGCACAATCCCTTAAATTATTCAATTTCTCTTGCTCCCCTTTTCCCATGCACTCAAATAGACGAATGTTCTCAGAAATCGTCTCTAACTGGTATCTATGAAAGAATGTACAGCACTCTTCATGTCGCTCAAGAAAAGATTTGGGGAGAACATGATGAGGAAAGAGTGCTTTCCTGGTCATTTCAGTCCCAAAATTCAACACCATCCTAGATAACAAAGGGCGGACAGCCTCTCTTCCTTTATAGAGGAGACACACCACATAAACTTCTGAGTTTCCTGCCTTGCTAGTGGCAGGTTTGAAAACATGGACTTGGTCAAAGGAACAATTTAGCAGGTACATGAGGTTTACAGAACAATGTTCAAACAACGTAAACATCTTTAGAACAAAAGAGCCACCGTTTCCAAGGGTGGTCAGAGCAGTGACAACTTCACAGTAATGCAAAGAAGAGACTAATGCCTCCTGTTCACCTGGGTTTCCCTGGCAGTCAAAACTTCCATCAGCAGTGACCAAGTGGACAGTAGACATGCTGCTGAGGAAATCCTCAAGTCCAGTCAGGTATTTCAAGGTCATGATATCACCAGTATTATCTGGGCCAAAGTACCAATGGTGCAAGGTGTTTGCGATCAGCCGGTCATCCATGATCATCCTAAGATTGTCATTTGCTTCATGGTATGGATTCAGGGTGTTAGCTACCCAACTCCACTCACAGGGGAACCGGTGGGATTTTAAGTAATGATTGAGACTACATATGAAAGCTCCTGGGGCTTCACAGAGGTGCAGAGAATTCAGTTTTCCATTCTGAAAAGCTTCCTGAGGAATAAGTGGAAAACTGCACAGAATCTCCTGGAATTTGCACCAGGCTTGAGTGCAAAGCTCTGCATTGACAGCCTTTTTCACGTGAGACGTGATTTTTCCCGCCTTGTTGGTGAAAGCAGTGTGCTCATGCCACTCGTCCAGCCTCTTATCACTCAGGAGGTTTTTCACTTCATTCAGGGAGCTCTTCAAGTCCAGAAAGACCCTGAACTCTGTGTGGTCACAGGTGAAAACCTCAGTGGGTGCTGGTAATTGCCACTCATTATTAAGTGGCTTACAGTATGAAAAGTTCTTGGCGAAGAGCTCAAACACGTCAGTGACAACATCTGGGCTGAAGGTCTCAGAACTTGCTGATTGCTGAACTGGCAGCTTTCTGCGCTTACTCATTTTCAAACCAAGTTAAAATCTGGGAAGAGAAGACAAAGTTACATGACTCAACTTATAGTGAGTGAAACAGCATCAGAGTAAATCTGATTACACTTCAACAAACCCAGTACAATGTGAAGGCTGATGTCAGCAGTTATAAGTTTAGCGAAGCAATGTGAAATAAAGGGAAAAGGCCTAGATAACCAACAATCCTGGGCTCAAATTCCAGCTCTTCTCTTTCCAGTTTAACCAATGTCCTGAAAAATTCAGTTTTATTCTGGGATTCATTTTTTTTTCTTATTAAAAAAAAAAAAAACCTGGTCTTTCCTTTCATTTTTTTTTTAAGAGGTGGCACACAACAGAGACTAGCAGTGAGTGGCAGCTGTTGCCATAGCAACTCACCCAGCTCCTCCCCAAAGCTCTGTCCTCAGCTTAGACACCACACATGTAGCTCTAAACATATATACACATTTCAGCTTCATCCTCAAACATGACCTCAAATCAAGTTCTAACACAATGGGGCCTTTTAGCATTTTGACTCCCCTTCATACCCACCTTCCTTCCAGGATGGGTGTCTCCTGCACCCGAGCCTGGACTGGCCAAGCCTCTCTGCTGTCAGTGACTTACTTACCCACAAGGGGTGCTTTTACACTTCTGTCCACATTTCCCTGAGACTGGTGCCTTGGTGATACTAATCATCAATGTAAACCATCAACTGCCATCCCTAGTTATAATTTGGATCTGAAATGTTGCCCAAAGACCCTGGTGTGAAAGGTTTGGTTCCCAGTGCATGTTGTCACTTGGAGGTGGGAGAAACTTTGAGAGGCAGAGCTAAGGGAAGGAAGCTAAATTAATGAACAGCTATTGGGACTCTGGCCCCTTCCTCTTTGCTTCCTGGCTGCCATGAGGTCAATAGCCCTCCATGTACTATCCACCATGTCCTGCCTCACCACAGGACCAACTGAAACTTCTGAAACTGTAAGCCAAAATAAACCCCTTTTCCTAGTAAATTGTTTTAACCCAGGTGTTTTTCTCACAGCATTGTAAAGCTAACCGAGGCATTCATTACACTGTTTGTAAACTAAATTGTACTGGTTGGCCTTCCTAATGATGCTAAACTGCCCAATATTTTTCTGGGAATCCTGTCTCCCATATCTTTGTCAGACAGCCCCTTGCATACACTATACAATCTGATTACTTCTTTCACTAAAACTTAATTGATGTCAAAAGCAGAATTTTACAACGAAAGAAAAATTTGTACTGAATCTAACTGCAGCCATTCTATACTCTGGATTGCAATGCTACCTTGCAGGGTGATGAGATGGCTCAGTAGGTAGAGAAGCTTTCCAAGCTTCTGACTCCCCAAGAGTTCAATCTGCAAACCCACATGGTGCAAGAAAAGACTGGACTCCTGCAAGTTGTCGTCCAATCTCCATGTTTTCACACACACATTAAATTAATGTTTAAAAAAAAAAAAAAAACCTAACAAAAACCCTATTGCCCAGGAAACCAGAAACATCTATCTCGTTGAAAGGAAAAGGCTAAGAAAAAGACGCATTTCTTAATCTTAACAACACTGTTGAGAAAGCTCTTAAAATCCAGCATTGCATGTTGCATGTTACCTGTGTCACTTGTTCAGTGAATTGACAGGTGCTTTGGTTCATCCAATGCTCTTGCATTCAATAAATGTTTTTGTTTATCTCAAAATTCGTTAGACATAAAAAAATGACAACTAAATCATCATCCCACAAAAAAGCAAACATTTGAGGATGAAAATTATGAGTCAGGCCCATTTCTTTGCATGCTAAGCAAAATGAACCTAAAAGCAGTCTAAAATGAGAGATAAAGATAAGCTATGACTACACCTGTGACTTGACACCAGTGTTCCCTCAGTCCTGTCCTTTCAGCAAACCTTCCAACCCCCTTCCAACCTGTATTTGGTCCTGTATTCATTTGGTCTACTAGGCTGTAAGCCCCCGAGAGTGACAAGGCATCTTTTTAGTCATCTTGTTTGCCACAACTATTTACAAGTCACACGTAAGTAGAGATAAACAAGCACAAACTTTCATCAACATCATCTAACAGTTAGAAACTGCATCTAGAAAAGTTTTCGGTGGTTCTCAACTTTCCTAATTCTGTGACCTTTTAATAGAGTTGATCCCCAGCCATAAAATTATTCTGTTGCTACTTCATAACTGTAATTTTGCTGCTATTATGAGTCACAATGTAAATATCTGTTAAGGAAGGATATCTGAGGTGTGCCCTGACCCACAGGCTGAGAACTGCTTTAGAATCTGAAGATAGACAAAAATAGGGTAATTCTGTATGCACAAAAACCCTAAGAGTAAATAAAAATTAATTACAATAAGCTCATCTGTCTTGATTCACTGTGCTTACTGGGAACTGCAGCTACATTTAGATCTCAAATATTCTATTTTGAAAAACGTCTACTTTCAGTCATTAACTTTACATACTAATTAGTGGCCGTGGTTAAGCTGTGAAATCTTACCGAAATTAAGTAGGTAATTATCTTCATTTGCAAACAACTAGTGGGATTCAAACACCCCACTATTCCTGACTGTACCCTTCGTGTCAGCTAGTTCTAAACATCACTTCCCCTTGCTCATTGTACCCCAGTCACACAAGCCTTCCCTGCTGCTATTCACAGAAGACCCAGGCACACTCCACGTTGAAACACTTTGCCCAATACTAAGAGGCATTCTCTATCTGGGCTTTACTTCCCCAAGCATCTATACATAGGTAATTCCCTCAGCTCCTGCTATTACTTGCTCAAAGGCAATTTGCTCTGTGAAGCCTACCGTAACATACTTATTTTTAAATTGTGTCTTGTGCTCCCAATGTCCCTTACCTTGCTTTCTTCCATGGCATTCTAATTTACCACTAATTTATTCCATATTTTCTGTTTATGATTTGTCCTCCCCAGACTAGAATGTAAGCTCTGTGGACAGCAATCTTTATTTTGCTTTCTTACATGTTGGAACCCCCAAGAGGTTCCAACAGTGGCTAGTGGATAGCGAAGCACACAAGTACTAACCAGACAAACGAACGACCATTACCACTTGGCCCAAAAGACACAGCTGTGAGCGGAATAATGCATTTCAACTTCACTCCAGCACTTCAAAGCACGACTTTTAAAAAAAAAGTGACTTTTTAAATTAAAAGCATGTCGTTTCCAAAGTGCACATGTAGATTTCCCAGTATGTGACCCTCGGTGCCTTTCACTAAGCACTTGATGGAGTGGCATTTGTGTCATCTTAATTGTGTGAGGTGATCAATATCACATTGCAAACTCCATAAACAAATCAAGTCGCTTCCTGTTCAAAGGCACAAAGAAAGTACTTGTAAGATTCGTGGAGCCCAGCACCAAGTCGTTAACTTCTCAACAGCTGTTAGCTCTAAACCAGCATCAGACATTGTTAATCAGTGTTCCCGCCAACTCCTGCGAGGAAGCAAAAACACTGCTCACTTGCTCTAGTGGGAGGGGGTCCCCTGACCCCGCCCCCCACTGGAGCAGCCCCGCCGT